AAATGGAAGAACGGCCTCCGTTTGATATCAATCTTGCTGTCATCCTTGCTGGTTTTGCTTTCGAAGCCTACACAAGCCCTCCTGTTAGTCTTTCTATATATTCTTAGTTTGTTGCTGGTACTGAATTTTAACTTTTTTTGGTTCCTGAGAAAGTTGGGGAAAATAGATATAATGGAAATGTATCCAACAAGATGGAAAAGCAAGACTGAAATTCTGAATGCCAACTCTAATTCGTGCGGGCTGGATAATTTGTGTTTGTGTTCATGTCAAAAACTGCTGAGCAGAAAAAAATTACACTGGAAAATCTTAAAGTAGCAGAACATGGTTTTTACAGGTTTGCTGCTGGGATGAATCAAACAGTTGTGAGAGCACCTGCTCTTTCTCATCCAACCTGACCTCATTCGAGAAAAATGACAAGATCATGTTCTTATTCAAGAATAACAGAAAGTTTAGGTCCCTAATTCAGTTAATTGATTACACTTACATTCTTGTTTAAACAATGGGTCTCTTGTTGATACTATGCGTGTACCCACTCTGTCCTAATAAATTGTTCGTTTGACCTTTTTAGTTTTTATGCATACTTATATCCAATATGATAAGAGATTCATGTTTTATATAATAGATTTACATTAAAATTATAGTTTAAATAATGATTTTTTTTAATATTAATTTTTTGATATTTAAAAATCACATAAAATTCTAATTAATTTGAAATCGAATTATGTCAAACTCTATAAGAAAGAAACTCTCCTAACATTTAATTTTTTATTTGTAAGATTTGAATTTGAAAGTTTACTTAATGAGAATCAAATTTTTTTCATTCGAATCAACATTTTGTTAATTTAGATAATAAAATTATTAAATTACCATTAATAAAGTAATATAACAAGTAGTTTTATAAAAAATATTTTAATAAATTTATAAGTTAAATTACATTTTTAATATGTATATAACTTATAAGATACTGTTTTTCATATAATAATATACAAATTTCTAATTTTACAACTTATAAATTACAAGGGCGATCCTTGTTTCTCCTCCCTTGACAAAGTTGCGATGATATAAGAGATCCAGGGTACCCATATTCTCATTGGAGCATCTGGGTGTTTTGTCTGAGGAATTAATCAAGGTTTTAGACTGATAAAAAGCGCGGCCATGTTTTGTTTGAAGTGATTATCATCCTCGGGAGTGCTTATGTCACGCCCCAGATCCCAAATCCGAGACACGACAGACACCGTGCACTCGTGAGAGGGTCTTACAAATGCACAAGGCTTGAAACTTATCATATCACAATCTGATACCATAACATCTCCAAATACACTCTAGCTTACAAGATCATGATTTATTTCTAAAATCTATATCAATCTCAAGATATCTAATTTAACCCTAAACTCTGATACCACTAAATCTGAAGATCAAATTATAAAATTTCTCCGATATCATAAATCTCCAAATACAAGATCATGATTCATATCTAAAATTTATATCTAATTATAATATGGCTAGCTTTCTAACTCGTCACTTCCTGTGGTTTCCCCGTCTTCGGTTTCACTTCTTGAAATGGTGGACAAGGAAAACTATGAGATAAACTCAGTAAGTAAATATGGAGTGCCCTTTATTAAATTTATAGCATGCCAACATGTGCAATCATTAAAAACAGATACAATACGAGAACGAAATAGATGTCTCCTCTATAGGTCACGGCCAGCGTCTAACACCCACTAACAGGCACACTGTTTGCCGGTGTATAATCCCCACAAGCAGGGTCACTATTTGCTGGTGTATAA